GCGCCCCCTCTCCACACCCCAATGCATGCCTCCTTGGGTTCCCTGTGGCCTCTTCTCCCCACGCCCCCTCCATGCTGCCCCCGTCCAGTTCTCCACAGGGCCAGCATTGGCCAGGCACCCACCAGGCACAGGGGTGCCCCTAGCAGCTGGGGTGCGAGAGACATCCACCCAGAGGCCAGCCTGAGCCCCGTGCTCCCAGCACACTCAGTCCGTGCTGTGCCAGGCCCTGGGCCGCTGGGTCCCCTGCAGACCCCACCCTGTTCCTGCAGCTCCTGGGGGGCCACGTCCAGGAGGTGTTCTGCCTGTGGTGAAAGGACCAGGTGAGGGACAGCTGCCACCAGAGGATCAGGGACCCTGCAGGGGTGACAGCAGAGCCTGAGCAGGAAGGATGAGCAGGAGTTTGCAGGGAGGATGCTGGGGGCCCCTCATGTTGGACCCCATCAACCTCACATGACCTTGAAGCAAGTGGGGACACATATCGCAAGGCCCAGCTTCTGTTCTCCCCCACACCCAAGATGTACCAAGGCCCCCAGGAGAGGGCCTCTGGGCCGGGGGCTGTTGCTGACTGGGCCCAGAGATGCCAGGTTGGGGTGCATTGAGGGGTTCTCCCCAGCGTGGGCCGCCATAGGCCACCCCAGCACCAACACACTTCCCGTTATCTGGTGTCCTGTCCTGCATCTGGCAACCCGTTGGTGGCCTAGGAGCCTGGAGGGGTAGGGTTGGCCCTGTCCTGGCTGCATGGTGGCTCCGGGCCACCCCAGTTACCCTTCCCTGCCTAGGCTCCGGGTGGGGGGCACAGAGGGCGGGCAGGAGAAGTGCCATGCCCCAGAGCCTTTTCCCTGGTTCCTTCTGATCCCCCATATCCCTCGTCTGCCCCTCAACCCTTCCCAACAGTGAAGCCTTAGCTTTCTAAATTCAAAGGTTTGTCTTTGTGGGAGGACGAACACCCTGAGAGGGAGCTGGCAGTAGGCGGAAGGTGGGGCTGAGGACATGACGGTGGGACATTATGGCAAACCAGGAATGAGGACAAATCCTGGAGCAGCTGCAGAAGGGGGTCCCCGAGGCTGTGTGCACGCAGAGTGCTCCCCACGAGAGAAAGGATAAGGATCGGGTTGTGTCCCCACGGGGGAACAGTGTCTGGGGTGGGCAGTGGGGGCGAGTCTCTTTGTGACGGACGATTTTCATGCTAGGCCCCCGCAGGGGAAGGGAAGGGGTTATTCTGGGGAGGGGTCTGTGTACTTTGCTTCTGGGAAAAGCTGGGTAGTGGGTGAGGAGTGTGTTCTGTCGTCGCATTCCTTCTGTCTGCCTGCCACCTCTGACACTGATGGAGGGTCTGGGAGCACCTCTGCAGGGCTGGGCCACTTTACTCTCCGCAGTCACTTGGGGCAAACAGAATGGCTCTGACCTAAGTTCACCCCTGTGAAAGAACTGAGAACATCCTTCAGAGCATCACAGAACATTCCAGAATGGCTGTGGAAACCCTTCCAAAAAGCTGTGGGTGGAGGAGACTCGGCTGCTCCAGGCGGGCTTGCTGCGAGGACGCAGAAAACCAGAACAGGGGAAACACTAGCGTTTGAGGGTCTCCTGTCTTTGTGGGGGATCTGGTGCTGCTGCAACGCTGTTTCCAGAAGCTGCTCCCCGTGTAGGAGCGGGATCCGCGCCACCTCCCAGGTCGGCAGGCTTCAGGCAGGGGCAGGATACAGAACCCAAGCTGCATGTCGCCTGACTTACAAGAACAAGCGTCAAAATGAACCACTTTCCCGGGCAACTTAAGTTTTCTCCAAAGCAGCCAATAGGGTTCGTTGATTAATTTGCCAAGAACAAAACTGAGAAGCTTTTCTGCCAGGTGGAAGCTGTGGATTCTGGTGGGAGCTCTCCACAGACATGTTGCTCGGGGCCCCTCCCTAGGGCGGGAGGCTCTGTGTGCACGTCAGGCAGAAGAGCCCCACAGTGACCTCAGTGCCCTCCTGGGCCGTGACGGGAACCTGAGGTTCCCAGGGTCCTGATGGCAGGTGCCCACAGCTTGGCTCCCTCAGGCCTGTGGGGTGGTATGTGCAGGACCCTCACTCAGCCCGGTCCAGGGCTCGGGATGTGAGCAGGGCCTTGGACACCCCTCCAGCCTCTGCAGGGGACCCCTGGGCCCCCCAATCTCAGGCTCCCCTCACAATCCCCCCACCTAGTACTTGCCAGATGTGCCAAGGCCACTATTTGGGGAATATCTGGGGAATATTGTTCTCTTCTCTTCGCTTTATGGAGCTGACAAGCCACCTTGGCGCCCGAGTGCCCGCCTGGCCCCTGCCCCGGGGGTTCTGTCACCGAAGATGAGCTGGCCCGCCATCTCTAGGATGTTGTTTGAGTGGTGTCAATGGTGTGCCCTTGTGGTCCGTTGTCCCCCACCCAGAGCCATTCTGTGACCTGTATCCAGGCTTCTTCCCTTCTACGGGTGAGCGGTGCTCACTACGGTTTCCTGTTTGGCTGCTGATGGGCATCTGGGTCATTTCCAGTGAGGGGGGTGTTGGGGGGAAATCAGCAGCCGCGGTCAAGTCGTTTCCTGGCCCTGTGGCCCCAGGCCCTCCCATATCACTGCCCTGGGGCCTCATCAGAGGGCCATCTCCGACTGGCACCCCAGCAACCGAGGCTGGACCCACACCAAGTGATGCCTCTCGACAGTTTGTCCGGGTGACGTGTCTGTGTCACCTCCCTCTGCCCTTCTGCCTGGGGGACCTCGAGGGAACAGCACTTCATGCTCAGACAGGAGTTCTTAGGGCGGAAAGTGCTCCAATCTGGTACTGGGGAGCGCCCTGCTCTCTCCACCATATCCAGTAACAAACAGGACTTGGGACCAATTGCGTTTCCCTTTTCAACTTGGCTGCCAGGAAACCCAGAGCCATGGCTCTTAATCAGTCAACCCTGATTCTGTAAAAAAAAATCTGCCCTTTCTTTGTATCTATGGGTCTTCCTTTGTATGTCCAGTTGTCAGTGCAACTTTTGGGATACCTCCGAGCTCAGGCCTAGTGAGGCTGGCAGTCTGACCATCCATGTCCCCAGATCATCTGTGGAGCTGTGAAGCCCACACACCGGTCTGTTGATGCACTCACAGACCTGCATGGACACGTGCTTCCAAAGTGCTTCTGTGTTCGAGTTCTCCCCTGATGGATACTACGGAGTCAGGACTTACCTGTCTCCAAGGCCACCTGGGCCAAAGAGGAGTCGGGCCAGTTGCTCCCACCCAGAACTGGACGCATGCTCATGTGTGTGACCAGAATTCCAGTTGCATCCGTGGGTGGAGGACAGGGCCAAATGCCCCCCAGGGCGTGGCAGAGCATGTCCCCTTTCCATAGCGGGGTGCCATCAAGGTACAGGTGTTGGGTGGGAGGTGGGGCAGTGTGACCCTCAGAGGCCAGGGATCTGGGTTATGTTGAGAAGAGGGTCCCCATGGAGCAGCTGAGACCCCACTGGACGAGTGCGCCTCTCCTGGGCCCGGGCACCCCGACGTCCTACCCTGTCATTCAGCAGTGTCCCTCAGCACAGGTGCTCCACGGAAACTGAAGCTGAAGTCACAGCAGAACCTGAGCTGGGGATGCCACGAGGAGGGGACACATCCGGGGAGCATGGCCGGCCCTAGGCCTCTCCTGGAATAAGGGGTCTACACACAGGCCTGGAGCCCGGGACCCTCTCAGCGCCATGACGCACACTGTAAGCAGGTCACCGTACGCAGCTTCATGCTGTTCTGCTTATCTACTGCACACGTACCAGCAGTAGGGTTTACAAACCTGCAACGTGGGCGAGACTTGGTGAGGACAGCTCACCCCTGCTTCACGCAGTGTCATGTGGGGAGGCCACCCTCTGAAGACTGGCCATCATCTGAGCACCCGTCGTGGCCCCCCCCCCATGTGTCCTCCCCATGTGACGGGGTCTTCTCACATCATGGAGGCCAAGTCCCAATGGCAAGCATCTCAAGGGCACCATATGCCTCCTCTTCTTGCCCTCATCCCAGGGGTCACACGGCGTCTCCTCTTCATTTGTGCTGGAAGTTGACCCATGTCACAGGGCGGGGCGCCAAAACCACGGGAGAGAAGTTTTAAAACTACCGCACATATCTGCCACCCTGTGTGATTCCACGGGTCCCAGGAAGCGCTGGTCCTCCCCAAGGGCCTGCCAACTTTTCCCACTGGCCGAGGCAGCGTGGGCCGCCATGCCTGAAGTGACTTCCAGGGGGTTCGACATGCGTGCTCTTCTGGGAAGCAGGCTTGCTTCCCAGCGGGAATGGCTGTGGGAGGGCAGCCAGTGTGGACACCGCTGACACCTGCCAATGTCGGGCCTGCAGAGCAAGTGCCTGGCACCACCAGGCAGGAGAGACACACAGGGGGCTTGCTGGGATGCTGTCCCCGGGGGCCTCGGCTCTGGCCTGATGCACACTCACTCTCATGACAAGTTCTGCATAGTCAGGACGGGCAAGTAAGAATGGGGTGCACAGAATGAGGGCCATGGCCGACACGGGCCAGTTTTATTGAAAATGCAGCCAGGTTTTCCCTGGGACTGGTCAGTGAGGGCCCAGCAGGCCCCAAGAAGGAGGTGACAGATGGGCAAGCATGGCCCAGACCCACCGGGGAACACAGGCAGGTGACCCGCACCAGAGGGATCCCCCCTTCATCCCCCAACGGGGATGGACGACAGCTGGAGGGATGGGCTGGCTCTGGTCAATCTCTAAGACATTCCAAGTAGAAAAATAGATCTTTCCCTCAACAAGCAACCACCCTGCAGTCTAGAGGGCCACTGGGAGGCCAGGATAAACCTCTAGGTGAGGTCGCAGTGGCCACTTTCTGCTGTGAAAGCACGAAAACACGACAGTGTCTATAAACAGTCTGGCCATGCAGAGTCAGTCCCTCCAAGGGTCAGGTGCCAGCAGGCCCAGGGACTAAGCGCCTGGAAGTCCCCAGGGCAGCGGGCCAGCGCCTACCCTACCTGCTCCTCATCGGGGCCTTCTGCTGGGGGGGGGGGGGCTGCATCCTGAGTGATGGCAGTGGCCCGCGGGCCTGCCGGCCACCCCCTAGGAGAGCAGCTGCAGCACCTGCCGAATGCGCTGGGTCTTCCCCTGTGGGAGGGGTTCTGCGCCACTGGCCTCGTCCAGCTCCCGCATCAGGGCTTCTGCCTTCTGCACTGTCAGCTCCCTGGCGCGGCCCCTGAGCCCCTCCAGGTAGGCCAGCAAGGTGGAGAAGAGCTCATCGGGAACCTGGGAGGGGAGACGATGAGGCTGTCAGGGGCCAGGCGGGGTGGCGTGGGAAGTGTGGACCCTGAGCGGTGGGGAAACCAGGCATTCACAGTGTGGGTCCCAGGCTCCGGGCAGGGCTCCTGGCCCAGCAACTGGCATCTCGGACTGCACCCCTGTGCCAGCGAGACGACCCCCCCCGCCCCATGCCACACACCTGCTCCCACTCTGTCCCCCTCCTGTAGGACCATGGGACTGGGGGAGGTAGGGAGGGAGGTCCGACCTCCTGCAGAGACCCTCTCCCAGTCCTGGGCTGTTCCCTCCATGCCTCTAAAGAGAGGTGTGTTTGTGAGGAGAGAGATCTTCTAGGACAAAGAACGGAGGTCTGAGAGAGATGAAGCTGATAAAACCAAGTTTAACTGCCATCACCCCAGGCTGCCTGATTCCAGGTCCAGCTGGTACCATCCAGAGGCGAGACTGAAGGAATGGCCGGGTCCATTCAAGAAGCAGTCAGTGACTCCCACATCTCGACTCTGAAGCCAGAGTCCTGAAGGCAGAGGCACTGGCCCAGACACCCAGGGCAAGGGCAGAGCCGGGGCCCAGGTGGTGACCCACCCCCCAACAGTCCCCCACCATGGTCAGCAGGCGGGGACACCCCCCACCCCCCCCCCCCCGTCAGCCAGTTCTGAGGGGAAGAGGGCACAGAGACCCTTCAGTGGGGAAGAGCCAATGCTCCAACGGACGCTGCTGGGACCGCAGGACATCCCAGTGCAGAAGCAGGAAGCTGGACCCCACCGCTCACCGGCTTCAGATGTCAGCTTAGAACGGGTCAAATGAGGAGTTAAAACTATAAACTCTTAGAAAAAAGCACTGCAGAAAATCTTGGTGACCTGGGATTGGGCAACGATTTCTTAGATGGGACACAGAGTGCACGAGCAGCTAAATAAGCCCCAGACACATAAACTTCATCTGAGCTAAACGCTCCAGCGCTAAATGTCACGGTACATGAGTTAGAGCTCATCTCAGCACAAAGCAGCTCCACGCTAAGAGCAGCCTGTGGCCACGGACACGGGAGGCGTAGGGACTCCTGGGTGGCCGGCTGGGTACAGGGAGGGAGTACAAGAGTTCACCTGCTGGACAGCAGCCTTCCCCACTCCCTCCCCTCCCCCTGCTGTGCCCCCAACGCTGCCCACTGACAGGCTGCCCACCATCCCCTCCGCATTGCCCCCCACCCTGGGCCTCCTCCCCAGCTGCTTCCCCCACTCACTTCACATTGCCCCCTGCCTCCCTCTATAGGCTACACCCCTGGCTCCCCTGACAGGCTGCCCCACAGAGCCTCCCCCACAGCTGCCTCCTGCCTCTACCAATGGGCTCCCCTCACTCTACCTCCCTCTACTTACTGATCTCTCCCCAGTCCACCCCCTCCCATGCTGTGCCCTTCCCCCACAGTTGCCCCCTGCCTCCTCCAATGGGCTGCCCTCCACCAGCTTCCACAGCATCAGTAGCCAAGCCTGTGTCCTGCATCAAGACTAGAAGATTCTATTCTGAAATCGGAGGATACAGGAGAGAAAACCCAAGATCATGAGTCTCGCACATCAACCCACACAGGAGTGCGTGGGCCAGTGGGGCATGTGCAGCCTTGGCCACCCCTATAGGGCTCTGTGTTGGAGAAAAGTCTCTGATTCCAAAGTCAGAGGCCAAGCACACAAACCACAAGCAACCTGGACAAAATAAAGGTTATATGGAGAGAACAAAATGTGAAGACTACATTATTGCCATCCTCGGAAAAATCCGGAGATGCGATCCAGCCCTAACGTGGGAACAGGGTGCTCCAAGAGGCACATGGCAGAGAGAAGCTGTGTCCTGCTCAACACGCGCCACCAGCCGCCCTTGCTGGCCTGGCTGCCATGGGCTGGTGGGTGCTCCCCCCGGGGGCCAGCGACGCGGGGCTCTGCTGCAGGGGCTCCCAGACACCTGGACTGTCTGGTCTGGAGAAGCGTCTGCATGGATCTTCTGTCCACTCTGAAACTGGGCTGTCCTGTCACCGAGCTAGGAAGGCTCTGCCCGGGTAGCAGACTGGCCACAGGACACGGGGCACATGCGCACTTTCTCCCTCCTGTGGGGGGCTGTCTCATTCCCGTCTGTCCGTCCCTCCATGTCACCGTGCTTGTGGAGCTGTGTTCAAGGCAGCTGTGCCCGACCCGAGGTTAGGATGGGAGAGTATCAGCCCTGATGCCTGCAGCTCGGGCTCATTTTCACTTTTGTTAGAGGTCAGCTGAGGTCACTTTCATTCTCTGATGTGTGGCATCCAGCTGGCCCCATGCGGCTTGTTGGGGACAGATTCCTTCCCCGTTGACTGGCCTTGGCTCCCTCCGCCTCAGGGCATCCTGAACGTGTGGGCCACTTCTAGGCTTTCCCTCCAGCTCCCATCAGTCCACCTCACAATTAGATTGGGCTTCCGGATCTGTCTCATCCCCGAAACCCAATTTTATGTCCTGCTCCTGGAAGGAAGTACTCCTGAACACACTGGGGCTTGCATGCACACCCATGTGCACACGCACGTGCACGCGCACACAAACACACCCTTGTCCTATGCAGCCAGATGGCCGCCACAACGTCGGGCTGTGTTTGCCTCTGCCTTGGGGGCTGGAAGCAAGGTTTCCAGGGGAGGAAGATGCTAACTTGGGTTCTGCTCATCAGTGCACCAGGAAGACTGGACATGTGTGGGACCGCAGAACAGTTCTGCCCCAGGTCACGGCCTCTGCTGCTCTGGCAGGCAGCGCTGGAGGGCCACTGCTGCAAAGGTCCCGACAAGAAGCATCCCAGCACTGTGCTGTGAGGGGTCACAGAGATGCCCAAATGTGTGCCACACGGGAGCCGGCAGTGCAGGGACCGTCCAGGGTGGCAGGCTGCTCTGGAGGGAGACTGAGGGCAGGACAGCGTGAGGGCCACAGAGGGAAGCGTGAGGAGTGTGGCTGACTGTGGGATCAGGAGGCAGCTGGATGCAGGCTGGGAGGCAGAGGCACCGCTGTCTACAGAATCTGGGGTCCAGAGCACCAAAGGACCCCCTGGCTTTCACACCAGGCTCCCCCACTGCCCTCCCTGCTGAGCCACGCAGGCCCTGGGAGTGTCTGCTGAACTGAGGGCGAGGCCTTGTTATCAGAACCACACACACCAACAGCCAGCTTAGCCCTCCCCTCCCTTCCCGGCATCCCTAGGCACCTCGGCTATAGTCACCTACTTGTGGCTCGGGGCTCTCCTCTATCCCACTGCCCATGCTAGACCCAGGTGAGCTCTGACCCCGACCTCAGCAGGCTTGCCATCGATCAATCTACCCTTCCATCCACCGATTACTGCACCCTCTCTGGAAAGCCCCTGAAAACCACCAGTACTCCAGCTGGGTTTTCAGATACACATGCCCCATTTTCCAGGGCAGCCCAGGACACTAGGAAGGGCCAGTGAGGCTGACAAGCCTTGTCCTCTCTGTTCCAGCAGGGCAGACATGTAAGGAACTGGCAGGACACCAGGAAGCAACAAGGTGCGGCGTCCCTCCACTCTGGGGAGGACAGTCCACTCAACGGACAGTGCGTGGCCACACGCGCAGAAGACCTACATCAGCACAGACGGGGTTGACCCCAATGTGTTAAAGGCCTAAACATAAGACCAAAAACTAAAAAACCCTTACCAGAAAAGAGCGGTAATTTTCCTGACCTCGGGTTAGGCAGTGATTTCTTAGTTATGATGTGGAAAAACAAACAAAAGAAAACATAGAGAAAATGAGGCTTCATCAAAGTGACGACCTATCCCTAGCACAGCTCCCACCACTGTGACAACCAGGTCTCAGTGGGATGGGCACGACTGGGAAGCAAGGGCCGGCTACAGCAGTGGTCCCCGGGGCGCCCTGGCCCCCTCCCCCGGGGAGTAGCGTGTCCCCAGAGGTGAGGAGTGGCTCCAGCTCTGGGAACAGAGGGCACACAGGCCCAGGCAGGGTGGTCGGGGCACCGATGTCTGTGCACGTAGCTCCCCACTGGCTGCCCATGTGTGCTAGCTGCTCCCGAGAGTTCTGGGGACCGCATGTCCCTGGGTCTGAGATCCTAGGTTCAGAAGTCTTCCGAGTGGGGAGCTGGCATGGGGCTGTTCAGGACAGCAGGGTCATGGGGAAGGGGTGTGGTGCTATTGGCCCTGAGGGGGCTCTGCTGTAGGCCAGACCACCCACAGCCCTAGGCCTTGTGTGGACAGCTGCCCTCCCCACCCGGCGACACCCACAGCCTCACTTCATGCTGTGGCTCTCAAGGGGTTCTTTCATGGAGATCACTCCCATCACGTGCACACGGGCACCCGCGACCTCCCCGCTGCGGAGCCACCACAGTTGTCATGAAAACTGCATGTGTCAAAGCAGACAATAATAGCAAGGGACAATGACCTGTGAGGAAGTCCACACTGACATACAATCCACACCTACCCCCCAGAGTGCACACACCACCCCTCAGCGCGCATACACCTGCCCGCCCTGTGTGCACACAACTGACTCCCCCAGCGTGCACGCACCGGGCCCCAAGCATGCACACACCTGCACCCCCAGCATGCACACACCTGCCCACCCCGTGTACACACAACCGACTCCCCCATTGTGCACACATCTGCCCCCCACAGCATGCATACCCACCTAGTCCCCCACCACGTGCTTCCTCTCCCCTCCCCGCTCAGCGTGCACACACCTGGTCGCTGTCGTACATATGCAGCAGCAGCCACGTCTGCCTTGTCTTCTGAAATCTCCAGTTCTCGTGCTTCTCGGCCCAGCTAGAAAGCAAGGACAGGAAGTTCAGATGCCGGCAGGAGATGGCGGAAGGGTCTGTGTGGCCCCCCAGGCCCCCGGCCCCCCAGCTAGAGGGGAGCCGACAAGGAGCAGAGGGGGATCAGGGGCCTGGTGCTGGGAGGACACCTCACTTCCGCATGCCTGGGAGGCCTCGGCCAACTGGGCCTGCTTCCACACCTGCAGCAAGTGGCACGGGGCTCTTCCTTCCAGCCCGACAAGGCCACCATTTTATGATGCAACATGTATATCTGGAATTTCATGAAATCGGCCATTCTTACAAAGCCTTTATTGTGTGCTACAGCAGAGTCTGCCAACCAGAGTGCGGAAAACATTTAAACTGAGAGCTGTGGGCACCTGGGTGGCTCAATGTGTTAAGCCTCTGCTTTCAGCTCAGGTCATGATCTCAGGGTTCTGGGATCGAGCCCCGAGTCGGGCTCTCAGCTCAGCAAGGAATCTGCTTCCCTTCCCATCTTCCTGCCTCTCTGCCTACTTGTGATCTCTGTCAAATAAATAAATAAAATCTTAAAAAAAACCCAAAACCACAAACCCAAAACCGAGAGCTGTTTGGTGGAGAGTGAGGGACAGTAAGCTGGGAGGAGCCAAGAATCCCGACCCGGAGGGCCATGCTGGTCTGGACTGCTTCGGTGTCAGGGAGACATGGGCATGTTGTGTGGCAGCCACAGAGTAGTACCTGAGCCAGACTGGACCGGTGCTCCCCTCCTCCCGGGGAGCAGACACCATGGCCACAGCCGGATTCACAGCGTGAATCTACCACGCATCACTGAGGTCAGGAGACCGACTGACGGTCCCCCTTCGGGCAGCAAGCCGGGCCTCTGGAACGGAGCCGGGTCCAGCCTCCCACACTAGCAGGTGCCGCACTCAGTACGGTCCCCGGCAGAAGTGGGAAAGCAGACACCGAAACAGCGGGCATTAGGGGAAGGGATGGAAAGAAGAGAGAAACCTTCTGGCTGGTTCCTGAGGGTAATCCCGAGGGGCTCCCTCCCCCATGCTGGTCATCAAGTCACAGCCTCTGCCTCAAACTTGCCTCCATCGCCCGCTCCGTAGAAACAGAGGGCTTCCTTTGCCAGATGGGCCAACGGAAGGAGAAGGTGCTGAAGAGACATATCAGTTGTTCCAGTTCCAGCCTGGTTCTGGCGAGCAACCTCCAGGAGCCAATGGTCCACTGTAGCCGCAGCCAGACAGCCCATGAGCAGCCTTCCTGGCAAGTCCCGTCGGCTCGGCTCCTGTGACTTCTCTGCCATTCTGTGAGCCGTGGCTGGGCCTCTTTGCAGCCCCGGGGGAGTGGCTGCCCTTCAGTCTGCTCCTGCTGGGTCTCAGCTTCTCGACTCACTAGCAAGCCCTCATTATGTCTCTTTGTAATAAACTTCCCTGTGCCTCCATCAACTAGCTACTCCCTGGCCTGTCCCCCACCTCGAGGATGGCACATGACCTTGCCCCAGGGCCTGTGGGGTCCCTCCTGGGCTGAGAGAGGTGTGGTGGTTCTGAGCTCCATTGGCTGGGACCTGGACTCCCTGGACCTGGTTCCATCACCCGCATATGGACAGAGTGGATGGGCTGTGAGCCCAAAGCAACACACGCTACCCAACCCCAGGGCTCTGGTCACCTGAGCCCCCAGGGAGTGTCCGAATGGCTTCAGATATGCCGCGTGGGCCCAAAGAAAGTGAGGGGCACCAGCTGGGGGCCCCAAGCACCTCCATGACAGGCAGAGAGGAGGCCCCCAGACAAACAAGGACGATGAGGACAATGACAAGAAAGATGGTGACGATGAATAGGGACGAGCCAGCCCAACCGCTGGGGCTCCCACTCCACCCGGGAGATGCCTTGCTGACAGGCAGCAGCCGGCACCGACTGAGAATCTGCATTTTGGGGAGCAGAGAAAGTGAGAGACAGGTCAGCAGGGAGCGAGCAGGGACCCAGGGCCAGTGCAGACTCCCCGGGGCCAAGGGGAGAGCCCCACCCTCCCAAGGGAGTGTGGAGTCCAAAGTGGCTCCTAGAGAATGCGACTCTGGGCACCCCAAGGTCACGGATGAAGGACGCTTCAACACGCAGCCAGGCAAGAGGCAGGCACAGTCACTGCCCAGGCCTCAAGCCCATGGCCACCCAGGGGCGCGGCACAAGAGGGGTGACAGGTGTGACAGCAGCTCAGAGGCTCTCGTTCCATGGGCAGCTCAGGGCTGAGGCCCTGCCTGAGCCCCAGCCATCAGGAAGACTGTGGAGCCCCAGAGCTGGGGAATGTGTCTCCAACCTCCGAGCCTCCATCCCCAGGGCTCTCAAAACAATCCTGAGAACCCCTCCCCAGACCACACACATGCCAACTCCCACATTCAAGCCTGACACAGCCATGGCCCCTCATGGCAATCCCAGCTCCGTCTTCCTGGCAGAAATGAACATATCTCCTCTGATGGGAAGATCCACCCTGGTGCGTGGACCAGAACCTAGGTGTAATGAGGGTTCTCGGCTGTGATGGGGTGCAGCAGCCTCTCACATCTGCAGGCAGGCCCTGGGCTGCTGGGGCTCCATACCCTGCCGGCCCCCAGGCCCTGTGGCATCACCACCCACTCGGGGGCCTCCACCCTGCCTCTGCCCTGCTTGTACCCTGCCCAGGCGGGTGACCCACTGTACAGCCTCCACTGGTGGCGGAGCTGTGGGGCCAGGACAGGGCACCTCCGGCCCAGAGGAAGGAGTTGGAGGAGCTGACGGGAGCCGCAGCGTGTGCCACCCCTGAGGTGACAGCCGGGTAGCTGGGCCCTCCATACAGTGGAGTGAAGACTGGGTCCCCAGCCCTCCCCCTCAGTCTCAGCTGCTAAGGCTCCCAGCCTGAAGAGTGAGTACGAATCATAGGAAGTAGGGACCCACTTCATGGGGAGGAGAACCAGGCGTGGGGACCGGGCTGGAACACGTGCCTCTACGTCCCGGTAAGTTTCTCGGCAAACAGAAGCCAATGATCTCATAGCGGCCTCACTTTTCCCGGAGCTTCTAGAAAGTCTCCCATGAAGCTGTTAGAATACATTTGGCAGCTGCTGCCCGGGTGTGACGACAGGATGACTGACACAGGGTCGGCAGGCAGTCTCAGGGCTCTGGCCGAGGCTTTGGTGACCATGCCCTGCTCTGCTCCCCCTGCACGGCAAACTCTTGCAACACAGGATGGCGGCCCTCCCCTCCCTCAGACAGCCCCTGGGGTTGATGACACCCACCAGGATGGCCATGTGGACACCACTGGAGGTGGCACTACAGACCCTGGGGTCCCAGTGGTTCTGGGAGCCACAGGAGAGCCAGGTCACTGAACGTGGAGCCCGTGTCCCTCCTGGCACAGATGCCCTGGGACACTGGCCGGGCCCCACAGGACAAGGTTGTCTTACCCACGGAGGTAGTCCAGGGCCAGCTGGGACCCAGAGCGCTTGGCCGGCAGGCTCTGGGCGGCTCCCGACTCCCGCAGCCGCCTCCTCTCCTCTTTCCTCCGCTCTTTCTTCAGCTTCCTGTCCCGGATCCTCTTCTCCTCTGGGGTCAGCGCAGGCAGCTGGGGGGCCGTTTCCTGCTTGGTCCCTGACACTGTGTCTCCCTGCAAGTCAAGGGAAAACTGGCCTGTGAGGATGTCCCATGGCATCTTGGACCCCCGCTCTTGGGAGCTGAGCCCCTCCGTACCCCATGCTGGGATCCCCAGTGCCTCTCTCACCTCAGGAACTGGGGACGGGGCTGCTCAGAGTCCTGATCTCCCAGGGACCCAGGCATGACTATCTCACCCCCGAGGATGGGTCAAAGTTCACTCACCTCAGCCCTGTTGCCCTGCACCTGCGCCTCTGCACTGGGGGCTAGGATTTCTGGCCTTGACAGGGCCCCTATCCCCTGAGGCCCTAGAGCCGCCTCCCCCACTCTCCAACCCTCCCTGTCTCCACCCCCTCCCCACCCACCCAACCCTAAGGAGTTTCTGGCCCCCAGGGTTCACAGAGGCTGTGCTGAGAGTGCACACAGCTTGCAGGGGATGGGGAGGGGCAGTTTTCCCACCACAAGCATCCACTGAGGCCCTTATGCTTGCCTGAACCTCTCCTGGGAGCAGGTGGCCAAGCAGCTGGGGGGCACGGCGCTAGTGTGGCCTCTCGCCTCCTGACCCCACCACTTTCCCAGACACCCACTATAAAACCAGATAGAGGCTGAGGACCCCAGCAGCTGCACACTTCCCCCTTCCTGGAAAACCTGGAATGCCAGCATTGGTCGCTGTGATTCTGGCCAGGGACCAGGCTACTGCCCCCAACGCTTCTAGGAAGGGCGAGCACACTGCCTTGGGCCATCCAGTGTCTGCACAGCACCCACTCCCTTCCAGTGTCCCCACAGGCCACGCAGGCCCCCTCCTAAAGTGCCAGTGCCTTGACAACCTCTGTGTTCCAACTCAACACCAGATCCTTCCAGAATCTTCTAAAACAAGAGAGCAGCTCTCTCCGGCTCCTCTGTCTCCTTTAAAAACAGCTGAATTTACCAGCCGTGGGGCTTCAGGCCTGCCCTAGGGAGACTCCAGCAGTCTCGACATGCACACACATTCACACACAGACACACACACAGATGCACTCACACACATAGACATACACACAGACACACATGCACACACAGACACATGCACATGAGGCTTGCAGGCCGCCAGTACAGGAGGGTCCTTGGACCCCCCCTTCTTGGGAAGTCTCCCACACACAGACACAGCCCCAGAAGCCCAGGTCCCCCAGCTGCCTGAGAGGTGTCCGGTTTTCAGGTGGGGCTTCCTGAGGCCAAGGATGGAGTGGTCTGAGGAGTGTGACGTGGCCACCCACCACTCAGACCCCTCGGCCCACGGCAGCCAGCACTGCGGACTGCACAGAAAGTCTGACTGAGAGGAGCAAACAAGCTCTGGGTGCGGGCCAGCCTCTGCCCCCGCGGTAGCCATGTGGGCAGCACGTCAGCAGCTACCTAGGGCTGAAGTCCTGGGGCAAGGTCAGGACCGTAGTAGTGCAGGGCCAAGAGCATGGGGACACTGACCCGGGGGGCCTGGGAGGGGCAGGGAGGGCAGGAAGTGCCTGCTCCCATGATGAGGGCTGCTGGCATGATGACTCTCTGCACCCTTCACGGGGCCAGCCGTCACCAGGATGTGGCCTCTGCCCCTGAGGCTGGAGGAGCCTGTCGCACGAAAGGTGGACTCTGGGGCATTCCGAGGGCCCAGTCCCCATGGAGGGGCCAGCAGCTGGGCGGCTGGGACCCAAGTGCGGAGTAGCCTGCACAGCCTAGGTGTTGCCCGGGGCTCCTGTGACACCCAGCACGAAGGGCCCATGTGTGGTATTAGACACAGAAACCTGGGAAGGACACACATAGCTTCCTTCTCTTTCTGATCACCCTGGCATGGCGGTGGCTAGAGTCTGCGCTCCATGTCCTTGGGAAGCTAAGTATGACTCCAGAGTTGTTCAGAGGGTCGTGACGCCTGCCCTCGATCGTGCCAGGGGCCAGCCAGGAACGCTGAGGGGGTCCAGACCCACCAGATGCCCACAGCCAGCCCATGGCCCACGCTGAAAGGCTTCTCCAAAGAAGCTGGAAACAGAGAGTGACAGGTGAAACCTCCTGAATTTTAAATGCTGGCAGTTTCAATGAAACAATGCATAGCCTGTGGGCGAGACCAACCACTGCACACAAAGCTGGAGAGGAAGCCGGCCCCTCTGCCCCAGACCTCCAAGCCCTGAGGCCACGACCGCCATCGCTCCTGCTGGGCCAGCCTTCCTTTCCCTAAGCTCAGGCAGCCTGCCCTTTCTGGCTCTCTTCCACGGAAAAGGGATGCCAAGGAAGCAGCCGAAAGCGCCTCTCCCATTGTCCCTGCTGGGAAGGGGGACGGAGTGATGGAGCTCTGCCCCTCCCCCAGCTGCGGTCCTTGCCCTGGAGGGGACCACATGAACCCAAGCAACCATTTGGGAAAAACACAAGGGTCTCGGGCATTGCTGGAAGATCAAGAAGTGGGGCCCGGGTGTGCAGGGCTGTGACCTGGCGGGGGCAGCAGCCGTGGACCAGCTGTGGGCCTCGCCTGGTCTCTCTGCTCTGGGTGCCCTGACCGTCCCGGCCTGGGCCAGGTGATGCCCCCACTCTGCCACCATCATGACTGGGGGGTCCGGCTGTAGGGGGCAGAGCTGTCTCAGCCGCAGTGGGGCTGGCTGGACCCAGGGACCTCCTAGCATGTCTGGATGAAGGCGGTGGGGGCCTATCTGGACTCTTCTGGCTACCTCCGTCCCGCAGCATCACCACTGCAGTGGGAGGCCAGCACAAGCACCCGGGGAAGCAAAACCATTTGTAACGCACAGCATCTGCCAGCCGCTGTCCGGGAGCTCGGCGACCCCACCGTCCCTGGAGGTGGAGCTTAATTTCCTCTGATCGTGAATGAACTTTCTCCCGTTGCCACTGATCTGATAACCCTCTGCAGAATTAGGTTTTAATTAGCAAATAACACTTGGGACACAGCTGCCACCATCACCAATGCCTCTGGACATTCCTCGGGTTAAAGGTTGGCCAAGGGCTTGGGAATGCCTATGTAAACACAAAAAATTCTGAAAAGGAAGGAATGCAGGAGTCCAATAATTGAAGCCTATAGGGGCCCCTTTTGGGGAGGCAACTTTCAGGGGAAGGAGGGGGTCTTTAGAGGGCGACATGGGGTGGGGAGGGGCGGCAGCCCCAGCCCCCCCAACAGGCCCAACCCAGTCAGCAGCTGTGAACACGACCCTTTTCCAAAACACAGACTTGACTGACCGCGTGGGGGTCAGCTGCCACCACTCACGTCTGCTGCCTGTCTGCTTGTCACAAACACGTGGAGCTGACAGCTTGTGGTTGCGCAGACACACAGCTCTACAAAGATGGATTACGGTCTCCGGTGTTCTAGACCAAACGGCAAGCACAATTTCCTAATACGGGAAACACAATTTGCGGCAACACATTCTCTTACACTTACACCGGTCCTGGGCTGCATTTCAAAAGGCACAGCAACAATTCGACGTGCATGGAAAACGTTGGGCAGGACAAACGGACCCACCATGACCACTGGGGGAGGGAGGAGCAGGGGACAACGGGTGGTGTGGCCAAGAGACAGTGAATTTTGTCTACATTGCCTCAGTGTGTCTCAATGTAAATGTTTTCGTGTACGATAGTAAGTCACGGAGTGCTTGTGTGATTAGAAATGCATTTTAAAGATTTTATTTATTTATTTGACAGAGATCACAAGTAGGCAGAGGCAGGCAGAGAGAGAGAGAAGGGAAAGCAGGCTCCCCGCTGAGCAGAGAGCCCGATGCGGGGCTCGATCCCAGGACCCTGGGATCATGACCCGAGCCGAAGGCAGAGGCTTTAACCCACTGAGCCACCCAGGCGCCCCTAGAAATGCATTTTAAAACAATCCTTACTGGCTTCGAGGGCAATGAAAACACTGAGTACATGCACTAAATGTACTGAAAATGCACAAGTCCAAAAGCCCCACAGAATGGAGAGTGGAGTCAATTAGCCCAAGGAAATCCAGGGGCAACGCTGACAGAAAAGCTGACCGTATCTGAGAAAATACAATGCATGAAATAAACGTTTTCTTTTACCCTGGTAACTCCTGGCAAGAGACACAGGCAGAAATGCATTACTTTGATCTAGAAAGGCTACCATGTGTTCTGGTCAGGCAGAAACACCCTCAGACCAGACCTGCAGGAAGGAGGTTCTAGGGAGAGCAGGCTTGACATTGTTTTGGACCCACAAGGGGGCCTCTCCAGGCACCCACCTCAGTCGCGGAGCACGGGTGTCCCTGCAGATGCCCAAAGCCTGAAACAGGAGAGCCGTGAAAGCGAACGCCCAGAGGCATGCTCCAGGAAGGGGATACTGCGGGGGAGGCCAGAGGGAGGACTGGCAGGTTCGAGCCGCAGTGTCAGCGTGGGATGGGGCAGATACCCAACGCGGTTCTTCTCTCCTTTTGGTGAGTATCTGACCTCACAAAGGGAGGGTCACATGAACTGTTGGCCCTGGGCCCGGCTCCCTTCACCCCACGGCTTTGCTGCGAGGAGAACCACACAAATGGGACTCCTGAGGGGCGGCCATGCCAACATTGGCCACTGGCCCCACAGCCTTGGCTCATCTCTGTGATGGGAACCTGCCTAGAGCTCTGGAGGGCACTGGGGCCAGGCCTATGGATGGGAGGGGTGCTTCACCTTTCCTCCAGGGCTGTGCTGAGGCTCCTGGGGCTATGGCTCCAAATCAGCATCCTGTGCCTGATCTGTCTGCCTCTCTGCTTTTTGGAGGATCCAGTCTAAGCCTCTGATGGGAAAGGGTGGCTGCATGTACCTGCTTCTCGGTCCTGCACCCTTGGCTTAAGGCCACACTTAGCAGCTAGCACCTCAGGTTGGGTGGGGGGTCTCACCCCTGTCCCAGCCCCTCAGAACCCCCAATCTGTCCCAGGCCAGCCCATCTCCTTTGCAGTACAGCAGCCCAGCAATGCAGTGTGGTCCCAGGGCCTGGGGAGCAGGCGGCCTTTGGAGTGGGGGCAGCTCTGGAGCCCTGAGAAATGGTCTGCAAGGACAGAGATGCCCACCGTGTATC